TCACTCTCAAGAGTTCCTCGAGTGACCTGGTGAGCGCTGCAGTGTCGTCGGCAAACTGGAGAAGCTTGACCTTCTTGCGGACGGTCGAGACTTTCTTGCCGTCGACTAATGTGTCGAGGGGCGGTGACACCGGCAGGCCCACGATGGATGGGTCGGCGTTGATTGCTGCTGCCAGTGCCTCGATGACCAGGACAAAGAGCGTCGGGGAGAGAGGGTCACCTTGCTTGGTGCCTCTGTCCAGGGGCAGGGCATCAGTGAGGATGCCGTTGACGCTGACTCTGGCCACGGATCCCCGCAGCAGGGCCATGACGAGCCCGACCATCAATGGTGGGATGCCGACGTGGCGGAGGGTGCGCTCGATGCTGTCATGTGATATGGAGTCGAACGCCTTCTGGAAATCAAACAGCGTGACATAGCCAGTGGCCATGTCTTGGGCAGCCGTGTCGATGACTTCCTGCAGTAGGATGGTGTTGTCGTGGATCAGCCTCTCGGGGACGAAGCCATTCTGTAATGGGTTGATCAGACTGTCGAGGAGCTTGGTGAGTCTGGCATTGATGACCTTGCTGAGGAGCTTGTAGTCCACGTTGAGTAAGGTGATTGGACGTCTGTTGGCAATGTCCAGTCTGTCGCCTTTCTTGAAGATGGTGTGGATGATTCCACACTTGAAGTCACTGGTGATGGTCTCAGGGTCGAGCAGCATGTTGTTGAACGTGGCGGCAAGGAAGGGGGCAAGGACCTCGGCGTGTGTCACGTAGAACTGACCAGTGAGTCCATCTGGGCCAGGAGACTTTGAGGTATCCGTGGTGGAGATGGCGGAGAAGACCTCATCGGCCGTGATGGGCTCCTCGAGCGGCTGGAGGTGTTCCCGGCAGTCCGGGCTCCAGTGGGACAGGAGTCTCTCATGCTCATCGGCGTCGTCAGCGCCTTTGGTGTAGAGCTTCGAGTAGAACGAGTGGAAGGCCTTGCGTATCTCTACCCTGTACGAAMCGAGGAGAGAACAAGAGAGATAGAGATAAAGAGATAAAATAGTGGTTGCGCTCATAGCTTGACTTTGTGCTACCTCAAAGTACTTGTCACTTTTGTGATGTATATTCGGGCACTTTTTATAATCATCGCTACCACCTTAGAGTGTTTGATTACTCTGCCATGTGTTGACACACAGGTATGCAGACTTTCGTCGGTGTCTCAAATACATATTTGAATGTTTCGTCTTGATTTCATTCGTTCGTTTATGGGTTCAATCAGTCGATTGTTTATATCATTTAATTAAACCTTTAGTATTTGTAGATCTGTACCAAATGCAATCGCTATCCAATCAGGTTGACTCGATGACCAATTCAACTGATTGATCTCTGCGTCGGCTTCATAAGTCAGCAATGGATCTAAAAAAAAAAAACGAGTAGTCGTGTCAGTCATTGATTGGATGTGAGTTGCCGTGTCGCTCATACCTTCAATTGGCTTGGGCAGTGATGAGAGATCCCAGATCAAGGCTTGCTTGTCATCGGAGACTGTGCAGATGTGACAGCTGGAGTGTGGCGCCCAGGCAATTCCATTTACCGCAGACTTGTGGAACTCGAGTTCGGCGGCGGGTACAGATGGCACGCGTATATCCAAGATGATAACTTTGGGACTGTCTTGCTGTATGGTTGCCAAGAAGTTTGGGTCCTGTTTGTTCCAACAGAGCCTCAGCAGTGGAACGAACTGAGGTGTCTCGTAGATGATTGTCGAGTGCTCCAGATTCCTCAAGTCAAACATTCTCAATGATCCATCTGCACCTACCGATGCAAACAGATCTGTTCCTCTCGCAAACGCTACATCAAACACTTCCTTATCATGTGCTATCAATTGTGTCTTTGGTTGTTGTGTCTATTTCATTCATTCATTCGAGTCGAGTCATATGATTGATAGATTGATTGATGTATGTTAGTCGATTGATTGAATGCTTGATTGATTGATCGATGTTGACGATCATACCTCTATATTCCATATTGTACAGGTTGTGTCGATACTTGATGTAGCTAGCAGTGTAGGGTCTGATTCATTCCAATCGAATGATGACAATGGTGCACAGAACTCTGTACTCTTACTCTATATTCATTCATAGGATGTGTTAGTACACTCAATCAATCAATCAATCATTCAATCATGTTAACATATACGTACACTTGATAATAGACTCTTTAGTTTGATTGACTTCTGATTTGTTAACTCCCATAGACGTAGATAGTCACCTGTGGTGGCAAGTAGATCTAGTCTGTTGCCACTCTTGTCTGGTATCCACATGCACTTTGTCGGTGGGTATGGATGCTCGAAGCCGCACAACACTTCAAAGGCATCTGTCTCTTCATTCAACTGTATGATATCGACTCTGTTTGTATAGTTCTCCAAGAATGATCCTATTGCCAATCTAAATGGTTGATTCAGTCTACTACTCCAACTCAGTCCGTACACAGTCCAAGGTGAGTTATATGTATATATTCTTTTCTTCTCCATTGGAATCTCTCTATCTCTATTTAGTTGTGTAAATTGTAAATTGAAGCAATTAAACAATCTCAATTTGAATTGATTGATGTGCAAAAGTTGAAAGGTGTGTTGCGTTGTGTTGTGTTGCGAGCCAGAACAAACACAAGGGATCAAGTCATTCACATTCGATTCAATCTTTGACTCATTAATGAAGTAATAATATATGTATATATGTTATGACAACTTCAATCAAAGTCATTCACATTTGATTGAATCACAAGAGAGAGAGAGAGATAGAATATGAAGTATTGACTTTATCTCAATAATTCTATTCAATGTTATTATCTGTTTCAATCATATTCAAACATATAAACAGTAGTAGTAATTCTGAAGATGTAGAGTAGATGATTGAATGATGAAAGTTGGTTGCAATTTCAATGAAAGTTCTAAACTGACCCGGTGATATATTGATGTGTGTTTGCCATTGTCCAAGATGGGATGAGATGTCCAAAGGCATTCCACCCACATTAATGGAATTCACTGATCATTGGGTTCAGTGATGGGTGTGTGTGAATGGCATCGATAAAAGGCAATCATTGGCAGACTCACTTTTTTCATCATTCAATCACACTAACTCACTCAAAGATACTATCAATTTTTATTATTTTTTTTTAATTTCATCAACATCGTCTGACAAAACAACCAAACTCTGAACCCAACATTCAAAGTACAAAGGACAGATAAACAAACAGACATTACATTCAGTCATTCATTCATTCATCCAATCAATATATACACACAACACACATTCCCCAACTTTGTACAAATAACAACAACAACAGCGTAAAACAAACAAAACAAACATGTCTACATCAACTGAACGTGAAGCAAAAGTGTTGGCCGATTCAATCGCCACAGTATCCGATGTTAACAACTCACTGCCCCAACCAAAGGGTCAGGAGGCCACCACAATCAAACAGTCCATCGAGGATAAGAAGGCCGACGCCCAGTTGGGTTCCGGTGCCAAGGACCAAGAGGTCTTCTTTGTCAAGGACGAGAACAACGTCACCAAGGAGTTGGACAAGACCATCAGTCCCAAGGCCACCGTCTTCTTCAAGAACCTCAAGGATGGTCACTACACCCTCTCAGCTCGTGTCGTCAAGGTCATGATTGAGTCCTGCCAGAGATGTACATTTGTCTTCAAGGGAAGAATCTTCACAAACACCATCGAGGCCTGGAAGACCGTCGATGTCAACATCAATGTATGTTCGTTTGATCGATCTCAAACTTCATGTCAACTCATCAATCGCGCTAACACTGGAACCATCCCCACCCTTTAGATCCTGAACGACCAAGTAAAGACACTACAAGTTGATATGACATCTAGAATGAACATCACTTATGATACTAGAACATCGCTGCACTCGTTGGTATGGAGTGGTGTCAATGACATGAAGATTAGATTCGACGACGAGAAGGACTTTGTTCACCAGACTGGCTTCGAGCAGATGAAGCAGCAGTTCCCAGAGGGCAACCTCAGCTTCACCGTCGACCAATTCACCACCAGGATCATCAAGGGCGAGCTGATCACCGAGCAGATCGTCAGACTGGCCAACGGCTATCCAACCACCGAGCGCGAGGCTCAGGAGTTTGACAAAAACGCCGACGCAAATGCCAAGCGCGCCGAGGAGTACATCAGGACGAGACTGGCAGAGAGCGGTGTGCGTCTGGGTGCCGGCAACCTTCCAAAGAAGGAGGCCGGTAGAAACGACGCCTGTCCATGCGGCTCTGGCAAGAAGAACAAGAAGTGTTGTAATAAGTAAAGTAGTTTAAGTCCCTTTATTAGGTTCATATATAGTTAGTTGATTGATGAATGGATTGTACATTGGATTGGCGATGGTCATGTGATCGATTTGATCACGTGACCACTGATCACTTGTCAGATTTGATCACGTGACTTGTTACAAAAGTTGGACGAGTAGGATGACCGATGGAATGATGATGCTTAGTGTACTGATGGTCCATGGACTTGTTCTTGAGCAGTCTGATTGATTGATGTGGCCGATAAATGGTCTGGATCCAGGGTCGACTCCTTTGGATCGCCTTTGATGATGGATGAAGACAGACCCAGGGACACCAGGTGGTGCACCATCAACTGGAAGCTCATTATGCGCTCCAGTGATTGAAGTGAGGACTTCATCAATTGGTATAGCAGTTCGTATACCATCCTTACATGTTATGTTTGCCGAGATACATTCTGTCAAGAACATTGTATCATTATACTTCTCTGGAAGACATACTCCACCATCTCTACGACAAAACTCATTATTACAAGTAGTCTGGACATACTGCTTAATGAATGAGCCCAACTGTTTCCTAGAGTTCTTCAACTCTACAGAGTCACGAGCTGTCTCTGAGAACCAATTGGCACAATGAGCTAAAATATCAATGCGTTAGTTTGTCCATTCGATTCTATAATGTGATCAACTCAATGTACTTACATTCACCTGGAATTATCAATATGTTTGATGATGGAAGTTGACATTGATCAGTTACTGATAGGTTCATCCATGGATCAAAGTCACCATGTGTGAATAGTATATTGGACATTTGTTTGATATTGTCAATACTAAATGAATGATCAAGTTGATGTTAGTATTTAGAATGTGTTTGGGGTGATTGATGGCCTTACCTGTATCTTGTATTGATCCTGTCGACGAATGGACTCATTGGCTTGCCGAATAAGATACGACAGACCTCTTCTTCCCACCATGTAACATTGATCAATGAGGATTTGAGTGTTGTATTACTGTCTGAGCCTACAAAGAACCATCCATATTCACTACACATTTGCCATGTCCACTGTCTTGCTCCAGATACGTCTGGTCCGGCACCTGCATAATTATAAATATTATAGTCCTCGCATTCCATCTACATTGATTGATTGATTGATCGAGTGAGAGCGTGAGTGATTGGAATAGTTCCATAAGTTTGGTAGGATGAACTTACATGTTGATTCGTGAATAGATCATTGACGAATCCAACGTAGATTGAAAGAAGATCGATTATTTCTAGTTCTGGATCGTGCTCTAACTTGGGACAGAGGTTGCTGATTGCCCTTTGTTTGGAGTTGTATTGAACGGCGTAGCTTAGGGTCTCCGAGATCATGTATAGGAACATTCTATCATCCATTTCTTGATTACACTTGAACAATGATTTGAGTGATGTGTTCTTGTTGGTCATTATCTCATGCTCGATGTGATCGAATAGTCTCTTTAGGGATGCTGAGCATTCAGGACCCAAGTTCTCACGTATCTTTCTATCATAAGAGTCAAACTTTGTTACAGCCTTCAAAGGTGCAGATGAAGCCACAACAGCAGTAGCCAAATTAGGATACTTCATCTTATACCAAGTTGCCAAAGTACCTCCATATGAACATCCCATTACTATCCATTTGGAATTCTATTTGATTGATTGAGTGAGTATGTGAGTGATTCGGTGATTGAGACAGTGTAGGATATTTACAGCAAGTCCAAGATAGTTTGATAATCCAATCTGGAAATTGGCAATATCCTCCAAACTGATTGATTGATGGAGGAGTAAGTATAATGTGATAAGGTCAATGGAGTTGGATATTTACATTTGTTCAGTTGTTAGGAACCTAAGGTGATGAGTTGTCAAGTTTGGCATTGGAAGACTCTCACCATAATATCTAATCTCCAGTGCAACTACCATTGCCTGAGTCTCATTAGCCACATCGATAAATGGAAGATGATTGACCAGATCAGGGTCCAATGGATTCTCTCCTCCAAGTATCACTTTACATAATTATATTAATATTATTTCATATGGACTGATGGATGGATAATACTTACAGAAGATGGTTTGAGGAGTATGACCAGGAGTAACGAACTTGTTGTTCAAGCAGAATCTTTGGTAGAAGTAGTGATTGACGTATTCCTTTTCATCTTCAAAGTGATCAACTGGTTGCAAGAAGGTGTGATATGGAGAGCATGGACTGATCACAGTATCATGGACGAATGCTCCATTGATAGTTGGTAAATAAACAAATCCAACAAGAATTAAAAGTAACAAATAAATATTATACATTTGAATGAATGAATTGACAGTTAAAGATATTGAATTAATATCTCTAAACAGTAATGTTGTTGTAGTAATAATAATGATAATGATCAGGTAATGCCTTAATCATGTGATGGATGATAGTTGGTTGGTTGGCAAGAGGGTATGGATGAATGAATGAATGAATGAATAAAAGGATATATTCAATCAATCAATTCAAACAAGTGTTTTGTGTCTGTACCATGGTACCTCATTCAGTTGGAGGTTGTATTGATTTGATCTGATTGGATTGGATTGGATAGGATTGTATTGATTGAGTGGATGTATATATATGCATATGTGTCCTCATGCCTATCTGCTGATTGGTGTTTATGAGATTAAACATATTGCCAGTGATATCTTGAGAGCTGACATGGCCAAAAAGCTGTATATCAAGTCAGTTGTATACATACCCTACCCCCTTGTTAGTCACATCATCTGATTGACACTTGACACTTGACACTTGACTTTCGACATTGATTATATATCTCTCTGTTTGTGTGTGTATGATTGATTGATCATAATATCTGTGTGTGTTGGTGTGGTTCGTGTGATCATGAATGTCACCTGTCAATCAATGATTGAATGACACCCTGGGTGTGTATGTGTGTGATTGTTATAACTTACAAACGATTAATTAAATCTACATATACGAATAGTATGACTTATTAATAGTTGGACAATGAATGAATGAATAAACTTTAGGAAAGTAAATATTATTATTTATTGTGTATGCGGGGAGGAGTTGATGGAATGGACAGAAGGTTCGTTCGTAACTGATTTACTTGAAGGTGACGGTGAAGAACTTCATGGCTCCATCGTTACCACATGAGACAAAGGAGTTCTCGGTGGTCCAGACGGCAGCATTGACACCACCTGGATGAGCGTTCTTCAGCTGCACTGGCTGATCACCCTTGACGACGTCCCAGACGAGGACGGCACCATCGAGCGAGGCGGTGACGAGGTGCTTCGAGTCGGAAGTCCAGGCAACAGTGTTGACACGGGCATTGTGGTTGACCCATCCGCTGATCTTCTTGTTCTTGCCCTCCCAGACCATGACCTCACGGTTGGAGCAGGCAGAGGCGAGCAGAGTGCCGCATGGCGAGTATGAGACAGAGTTGACCTGGCCACGGTGGTGCTCCAGGAGACCGGCGACGGCCAGAGAGTCACCGTTGACGGTGAAGGTGTGGATCTTCTCGTCCTTGCCTCCGACAGAGACCTCCTTTCCGTTTGGTGAGATGGCAACGCTGGTTGGCTCCCAGGCAGCGGCGACGGTGGCAACAGCCTTTCCACCGCGGATGAGGTAGATTGACTTCATCGAGGCGGCAACGACGACGTCGCCAGCGACAGAGACACCGACGGCTGGGGAGTCGATGGCGATCGATGGACCATAGGTGTGGGTGGAGATCTTGGAGATCTTGACGCTGTCGTCCTTGGCACAGGTGACAATCTGGTCGCCGTGCACCTGGATAGAGGTGATCTGGTTCTTGTGGGCAACACCGCCAAATGGGGTGGCGAGACCGGTGGTCAGGTCCCATTGGTAGAGGACACCATCGATCGATGAGGAGAAGAGGGTCTTGGTGTTGGCGTCGTAGGCGATGGCGCTGACCAGTCTGTTGTGACCCTTGAGAATTCTCAATGGCTTGGCGACGTTGTTCTCGTCCAGGAAGGCAATCTCACCAGACATGTTGACGGAGAGCAAACTGTCGCCGACCCACAGACAACCAAGCTGCTGGTCCTCGGTGGTGTCACCGAATGTGAAAGTCTTGAGGCAGGCACCAGTGGTGGCGTCCCAGAGCTTGGAGGTCTTGTCAGCCGAGGCGGTGAGGACGCGGGCGCTGTCAGCGGACCACGAGGCTCCGTAAATGCCTCCGTTGTGTCCACCCTGGAGCTCGACCAGCTTGTCTCCAGTCTTGCCGTCGAAAATGATTCCTGTCTTGTCCGAGCTGACAGAGACGACCTTGTTGCCGTCTGGTGAGAAACGAACGCAGTTGACGAAACGTCCGTGAGTGGTGAGCTGCTTGTTGTACTTGAATGGTGGACCCTCGAACCAGTTGACGGCAAAGTCCTCAGAGCCGGTGGCGGCACGGAATGGTCTGCTCGACTTGATGTCGACCGACTGAATGAGCTTGGTGTGTCCAATGATCTCACCACATGATGCACCCGAGTCCCAGATGACGGCGGCACCGAAGCGCTCCTTGCCGTCTCCGACGGCGATCAGACGCTGCGAGTCTGACGACCAGGCCAGATCGAGGATGGGGCCTCCGAGCACTCTGAGTGTGATCTTGAGGATGTGCTCCTTGTTGACAGTGTCCCAGATTCTGACGTTGCCCTGCACGTCACCAGAGGCAATGTAGAAGCCTGATGGTGAGTAACGAGCGACAGTGGTCTGAGCTGGATGCTCGTAGTAGAGGTCGGCAACTGTCGAGTCCTTGATGTTTCTAATGACGATTGCGCTACCAACTGCGTAGACCAAGTTGATTCCCTTTGGATCAGCATTGACAAACACTGGCTTTCCACGTGTAACTGTTGGAGTTGGTGCAAATACGTTCTCTATATTCATTCAATCAATCAATATCATATTAGTATCCATTCAATTGAGTGATCATCCTATCTCTCTGTCCATCTATCCGTCGATCATCTTTGCTGTTATCTGATGTATGACTGATTGATCTTCCAATGTAACCCTGTTACCTACTTAATGTGATAGACATATCTTATTAATACAAGTGTTTTGTTTGAATATATATGAAGAATATAGATTTATATAATACAAGTTATATGATTGTTGATACGGGTATATATAATGAATGATTGATTGATTGATTTGAATGAAGATGGAGTCAGTAGGTCAGTCAGTCATTCAGCCAAGTTTGGTGGAAGGGTGTGTTGAGTTAGTGGTGGGTGGTGGATATTGTTGTCAGTCAGACAGAGTGTTGCTGTTCTTCACACACCATGAGATGAGTAACAAAGTGACATCGCCATTATCCCATGGGATAGATGGATAGAAATGAATACAAATGCATAATTTAATTATAAATTTCAAAAAATCAAAGCCAACACATCAATCCAAACCCAAACCCACCCTTCACTCATCACTTCACCTCATCCTATCGTTCGCTCATTCAAATAAGCTACACAAAAAAGGCTCTCTGTCTCTTATTCGTAGTCATCAATCATTGTGTCTGTACTTGCGTGTACACAATTACATTGGTAAATTATGAATTCAAGCATTTACCTATTTGTTGTTGTTATTATTATTACATCTTGATGACATTTCTTTGTTTGAATTAATAATGTACAAATATGTACATCAAAATGATTAGAGACTTGAGAAATGGAGATAGATAGAGAAAGAATGAATACAAATTTGCAGACCTAATAAACATTAAGTAGGCAATATTCATTGAAATGATTGACAATACACACACACACACACACACACATCACATAGACACATCTCAGTCTCACCTCATATGCATTGCCAGGTCCTTCCTCAGACTTTAGGACCAAAATTAGCAAAAATAAGTGTACCACACTTGTCTATGCTAGTTCGTAGACACTAGCCGCGTGTGGTTGGTTGTCAACTCATGCCATTCACCACGCCGACGACAACAACAAAGTACAAATTCAATCATTGGCAGTTACTTTGTTATTTATTTGATTAACTTTATTGTAATACTGTACTTACATCTCTGTGTATTTATAATCGAATACTACAACTACTACTAAGTTAAGTTAGTTAATTGTATAAAGTATATATATTATATTTATCTATTCAATCAAACAAAGAAGAAGAAAACATGGCAAACGTAGCATTGATATTCACAGTGTTGAACATATTGGTTGGCATACTGATCGTTGCCTCTGGAATCTATTACTTTGTGGCAACAGACTTTTGGCACTTTGTAACAAACTTTGTCATTGGAGTCTATTATATCTTCTTTGGTATAATGATCGTCATTCTAGAGATAGTCTTCCCCGCCAGGATTCTTGCTCTATTCGGATTCTACACCTATTGGATTGGCAAGGGTCTATTCTTTATCTTGTAAGTCCACTCCATCAATTGACCTGGAATCAATCCACTCACTCATCACTCACTTACCAAATCAATCAATATAGTTTGGGATTGTTGATCATTAGAGACAGTGGATTCCTGTTGTTCTCTGGAATTGTTGTGTTGGCTGTTGGACTCATTCTTTGTATCATTCAGTTCATCTCTGCAGTGAGCAAGCCACGTCCATTGGCCAGTCCAAAGGATGGTGGACAAGCACATTCCACAGCATAGACTGACCCTAATGTTGGCTGGCACTTCTCATTAGTCTCCACATTGGATCAATGTACATCATCACACATAATAAATCTGGTAATCACTTCCTCGCCTCGGAGGCAGCAAGTGACAACCCTTGTATCTCTATCTAGTCTCTGTGTTGCGTGTATATAATAGTTAAGGGAAGTAGTGGTAGTACTACCTTCCTTCAGTCAGTCAGGTGTTTATTCCAACTCTCTTTGATCATTGATGGGTTGTTTAGGCGCTTTGGTGGAATGATTCAAGCTCTTTGACATCCTGCTCGCTGCCCATGAACACTGGAACACGCTGATGAATGGAGTTTGGAGTGATGTCCAGACATGGCATCTTTCCGTTGGATGATCTGCCACCGGCCTGCTCGACGATCAAGGAGAGTGGAGCAACTTCGTACAGGTAACGGAGCTTTCCGTTGGGCGACTTGGAGTCGGCTGGGTACATGAAGATACCTCCATAGAGCAGGGTTCTGTGCACGTCGCTCACCATGCTGCCAATGTAACGCGAGGAGTATGGAGCGCGACCGTTCTTGCCCGACTTGATTGTGTTGACATAGTCGGCGGTGGCCTTCTCCCAGTAGACGCTGTTGCCCTCGTTGATCGAGTAGATCGAGCCCTTGGACTTGATCTTGATGTCTGGGTGTGTCAGGACGAACTCTCCTACTGAGTAGTCGAGCGTGAATCCGCAGACGCCGTTGCCGAGTGTCAGCACCAGCATGGTGGCGCTGCCGTAGAGGGCGTATCCGGCGGCGACCATCTCGCGACCCTTGCGCAGCACGTCGGCGTTGGTGAAGTTGTGGTCCTTGGAGACCTTGTTCCAGATGGCAAAGATGCTGCCGACTGAGACATTGGCGTCGAGGTTGGACGAGCCGTCCAGTGGGTCGAACGTGATGATGAAGTCGCCCTGTGTCGACTTGGCCACGGGGATGATGTCCTCCTCCTCCTCGGACACCATGCAGAACACCTCGTGCGTGGTGGTCAGCGCGGCCTTGAACGCGTCGTTGGCGATGATGTCCAGCTTCTTGACGTCCTCCGAATGCACGTTGGTAATGCCGGCCAGACCAAACAACTGTTCGAAACCAGCTCTCTTAATAGCATTTGTTGTGATCTTGCATGCCAAGGCGATGCCCGTCATCAAGTTGGCAAAGGCAATCTTGTCAATTCCCTCTGGGTAGTGAACATCAGATAGCAACCAAGAGTTCAATGTTGTTGGATTTGATGAAGTCATTGTGTATGGTGTATGTATATGTGTATATGTATGTATAAATAGAGTGAGATAGATAGTTAGACTATGTAGATGTTGCGAGCATCCATCAAAGTGAACAATCAAGAATGTAGGAGTGAGTGTCTCCCCCTCTCACACCACTTTTAAACACAATAGTGAAGTCAAATTTCCCACACTGATTTTCTTTTTTTTAATTTCAATTCCGAAGAGCTCAAGGTTCACGTTCTTGTTCTCGTGCATCATTCTGATTATCTCTTTCCGTTCTTGGTCAACAATGTTGACATGGTATGACATGACATGACATGACATGAATGTCCTCGACTCGACCAATGAGTTAATGAGGGATAGAGAGGGAGAGAATGAATCAATGACAACAAGAGTGTAATACATGAGGTAGCTCGAGAACTAGTGTCCATTGGACTTCCAAGAAGGAAGTGGACTGAGTCAAGTAGACATGACCTACCCAACCCTTTATTATTACTATTATTATTATTGTTGTTAGCGCTTAAGTAAGAAGTAGAAGTAGAAGAAGATGAAGTATGAAGAATGAATGAAGGAGAAGCAGGAGGAAGGAGGAGGAGTATTGGTCCATCCAATTATATATTGGAGTTGGTGCTGTCGTTGTTGATCAAACCTGAACTGCTGGTACTGGAGGTGAGGTTGTTGCTACTGTTCATTTGGTGTAATCTTTGTGATATTCTGTTGTGCTCTTTGTTGTATTGCATCTTGGTTTTGATGTACAATGCTGTTCCAACTGATGCAGCCACGACGAATAGACCCACTACGACGGCAATGACGATGATCTTCCAAGTGGTCAATCCGCTCGAGCCACCGCCACAGGTGTTCTGGCCTTCGACTGTGGTCAACACCGTGAAGTCTGGATCGATCCAGCACTCTTGGCACATAGGCAACACTGTGCCAATGTAGGATGTCTCATTGGTGGCGGTCGAGTTAATGATGTGGTTGAGCGAGTAGCACACTCGGCCATCGATAAAGGCGTAGGGCAGGAAGCGTCCAAAGTATGTGACATCGCTGTGGATCACCTTGAGGAACTGGAGGTTGGCCAATGGATCGAGTTGCTGTTGCACGTTGCTTGTCTGGCAGGATTCGTCGGCTGGGATATCCAGATCATTCTTGAAGACAACACGCAACATATGAGTATTGGATTGAAATTGCCAGTTGGTGATGTTGAGTCCCATCTTGAGTGAGTTGGCGGAATATCTGATTGTGTGATCGGCAAAGTCCACCTGTCTGGACTCAGACGACTGTGAGAACTGGACCATCACTTTGAGATCACCCCATTGTTGATCGCCAGATGATGTTCCGTTGATGTTCAACATGTAATCAAACACTTTGAGTGGTCCAATGGTAGTCTCGTTAAACAACCAACGATCGGTGATTAGCTCCTTGATCACAGTGTATGTTGAGTCCACCTCTTGGATCGCCACGACATTGAATTGGAACAGCGAGCTGGTGGTAACAATGTCAACAGTTGGTGCTGTTGCGTTTGGAAGTATGACCACACCAGCAGTTACCCTCTCCTCGCAATAGAATCCACCATAACCTTCATTACACCAACATGCACCATTCAAACATTGTCCATTGCCAGCACATTGTACATTCTTTCCACTTGGATTAACGCATGGATCAACAACTGGTATAGTGTTGTCATCTGATTGATTGATGTATGAGTGAGCGAGTGAATGTATGATTGAACGATCGAATGGGGAATGACTTACATATTTGCAACAACAGGAATGAGGTGAATGGGATAAGACCTTCTGTGTTGACAGTGACGTTGGCCATACCGGGCACCAGGCCGCCGCCAATGGTACATACCAATTGTGAGTTGTAGTCGCCGGTGATGTTAACCTTGTCAATTGGACAATTCAATCCATTGATCCATACTGTCGAATTCATATACACTTGTCCATAGTATCCAGTTAGCACCACCTGGCCACCATCAATAGTCAATCTTTGTGGTGTTGCAGTCTTTACAAGTGGGAGGACTACATATGTTTGATTGATTAATGTTAGTGTTTGATTGATGGATTAATTGATTGATGACTTACAATATTGGTTCACTGGTATGATGATTGGGTCTGAGTATCCAGATGATATATTGGCCATATTGTCCAACTTGGGTAGTGTGATATCAATTTGACAGAATGCCTGAGAGAACATAGTCGAGATCTTACAACGATGTCCATAAATATAAACAACATAAGGGTATTCCTCATGGAACGTTCCATTAATTGTAATATTCATCACATTGCCATTGACCTCACCAAGTACATAGGTAACTTTGGTAACTATTTAATATTGATTGATTGAGCGAGTGAGTTAGTGAGTGATCCATCGATCGATTGATTGATTGAGGTGATGTGATACATACCGTCTATCTGCCATCCAATTGTATACTTGATGTTCTTGGAGGTGGAGAATACTAGTGTTTCTGAACCAGATGATGTGTTGGCAGCATATTTGAACCATGTGTTTGGCATTACTTTGGACAACTTAGTAGCTGGGGAGAAGTCACCTGCTATAAGGTATCCAAGATTGAATCCAGTTATCTTGATGGGATAGGGTAGCACACTATCCCTTGGCAATACAAAGTATGTATTGTCAACACCAGTTTCTATATTGATTGAGTGGATAGAGTGAGTGAGTGAGTGTGAGGAATTGTTCCACGGTTAAATATACATACTGCAGACAAATTCTGGTGGTGGAGGAATGACTGATGGCGGCAACCAGACATTGGTAGTGATGTTCCAGAAACAATACATGCAATCTGGGACGTTGGTGACCATCGTGCCTGAAATATCCACTGTTTCAATTGAACAGAAGTAGTCTGGCACTGTACCAGTGATCGTTGGAGTAGGATAGCTCTTTGGTGCATAAAATTGACTCAATCGATTACCCGCATACAAATCTGGTAGAGATCCAGTAATATTTGTATCAAATACATTACTATTATTATTTTTGGAATTGGAAGGGTTGGTTAGTAATTGTACAGGTATAGATTGATTGGGATGTAGTTGATACTCACACTTTGGAACCAAAATTGGACAATATATTGGGATATGGAAACCTGGTGAATGTTGGACCAGCGTATTGTCTACATAGTAAATTCGATCGATATGATATTAGTAAAAGTGCATGGCTTGATGGAGATGTATTAATGAACATACACTAGCATTAAATTCTTGGCCGCAACGATCTCATTGGTGTTGGACAATCTCACTGTATCCAGAACTGACAAGTGTGTGATGTTGGATGTGAATGTGACAAAGTACATTCCCCTGTTATGTATTGATTTAGTTATTGATGGATTGGTTAGAAATTGATCACTTTGCTCATTATAGTTATTATATCTACTTACATTGATTTGGCAGCTGGTGCTCTGGCTAATGTGACAAAGGTACTGTTGGCATTATATAACTTGATGGCAGAGAATTGGCTTGTTTGTTTGATAGATTGATGTTGGTGTAAGTGAGTTGAGGAGTGACAAACTATAATGTATTGTACAACTTACATATCGGTTACGTTCGAGTGGTCAATGGTCACATTGTATGGATATAAAGAGTTGTATTGACTGTGTTCCAGAAGTTTGAATGGTAAGTATAATTGATTGATTGATTGATTGATTGGTATTTTGAGATATACTTACACCATGCTTAAGGAAGGGAAATGATAATCATCATATACAAATTTGGTATATGCTGGTGGATTATTAAAGGCTATCTGGCTGTGTGTAGGTGTTAGTGATCGATCTTGCCATGGCTGGTCATTGTAGTAGATGGTGGATACTTACATTGATTTCATTTTGGGATAAACCAATGTTGTATCAAACATTATAGTAAAGTTTGGACTGGTAAAGTCTATATTCAACAATGAGAAGTTGATCAACGTTGGTGTTGAGAACAAGGACTGAGGTACATTTGATGCAAACCTAACGGCAGACATTTGGCTAACAAATAATAAATTATGTTAGAACTAACTTGATGTATGAATGATTGATTGATTGATTGAATACTACTTACAAAGCGGTAAGTTTCAAATATATTGGGAATGTGTCTGGAATTACAATTGGATCAGCAAGCTGGCTTGACAAGCTAAGCAAATAATTATAAAATATTAGTTAGTTAGAGAGGTAGCCGTTTGGAGGAATGGTCCATTGGATTGGACCAATTACTTACCCAATGCTAGCCCATTTACTGTTTTCTGGGTTGTCCACAAGGCTTAGTATGTGGAAACTCTTATTGACACGGACAAGGTTGTTCAATGAGAAGTAGGTGACGTTTGGAAAGATCAATGAGACTAAGTTGGGGTCTGGATTGCCTTGATTCACCACTGGTAGATTATTAATTGATCTAAATATATGTTGTGATGGTTATTATGTATTATTGACTGATTGATCGATTGAACTGTACACATACATTCTAGTGATTGATTCCTCATTCTTGGCCTTGTCAACTAGACAAGTGAGACTGATTGCCCCTGGACTAATCTGTTGACATGTAGTACCAGTCAAGTTCCATCCTATTTGATATTGTTGGATTATCCATCGAATTGATGCCACTTTGATTGATTGATGAGTGTTATTGAGGTGATGGATGGAGTGAGTGAGTGAATGTAGGAACTTGATCAAACAAACATACATTCTTTTGGATTCAGATCTGCTGCTGCTGTTGTTGAACAATTGAATGCCAGTGTCAATGACACAAGCACAAAGAGTACAGTACCAAGTTGATTATGTTTACAACTATACATCTTTGTTGGTTGATTGATTGATTTAGTGTGTACAAGTTATCGAAGACAAGTGAGTTCAAGATTGATGGATAGTCAACGCTACGCATTGGAGCGAATAGAGGAAGAGGAGGAGCTTGAATCCGATGTGTAGCCTTTACGTGATGCTATTTGGTATGGCTCTCCTCTAAAACGGTTCACAGAACCACAGTCATGACTTAACGATCGAGTTGCGAGCCATCTTTGTCAACGAGGGATTCTTATCATCCCTTCATAAGATACCATTATAAGATGATTTGGAAATTTTTGTTGATACGCCATACTATAAAGTATCAAGATATTGTAATCTGTCATTTTCATTACTAAAAATAGGTCCATGATTTGCGACCTATGTCCAAAGCGTGTCTAGCCCGTCGCCTGTCAAGGTCGAAATGGAACTCTTGATCACTTTTGACGAGTGATGTGTGGTTTGAGGGGTCGGGATTGTTAGAGAGTCTTGTTGGTAACCCGTGTGATCGGTTCCACCTTCCCTTCTCAGTTGAACACCACCATTATATCGCACAATAAATGAGGTCTACACCAACTACTCCAATAGATTATCCAAGTAAAGTTGTTGGTAACAGTCAATCAATCAATCATTTAGGTCTGTTGTTGGCACATCTTAACAAAGATTGGTAACCTTGACCTTGGTTGATAAATCGCTCGCAGTCATTCAACACCAGTGTTGCTCGTAAGATGATCTGATTGTTTGATTGATTGCCACGTTGTTGCGATTGCTGACTTGTGTGATTGAATGAGATAGTTAGTCATCTTGTACTTGTTGTGTGCGTACAACAAGCAACGAGCAACAATGTGACCCAAACACACTTCCCTCGAGCTCATCGTCAACTCACTCCAACTTGACAACTTGGTTCTTGGAAACAAGTGACTTGTGTTTGACTCAAACAACAAACTTAAGTTTATTCGATGTCAATCAATCAATCAAACATGAACAGACAGAGGATGATGACAATAATATAGTTAGTTGATATCCTTGTTGTGATCGTATGGACGACTTGATGATTGTCTGCGACTTGGTAGGATGAGTCGCTCGAGGTTCACGAATGGTTTCTCAACGGCAAGATGTACTACAAAGGCTGCTGCGAATGATAGAACAGTGTTACCAGTGTACATCCATGCAAACTCTGTCGGTGAGTAGTGCGTGAAGGTTGTGCGAGAGAACAGTCCGGTGAATATCACAATCGGATGTATCAAATATGTAGAGTACGTCAACTTGGAGAAGTACTTGAAGATGGGCAGCTCGAGGAATTGACCGAGCACACCTCCATGGCCATAGAACGTCGACATCATGTATAGGGCAAGACCGACCGTGAACAAAGTGTGAGCGAATCCATTGTACAATCCGTTCTCAGTGTTGTTCCATCCGTTGTCTGAGTGGAATGATGTGTAGGGTATGTAGGTGAAGAAGAAGGTGATGCTCAGCGCGAGAATGTAGGCTGTGTATCTGAACAGAGGCTTGTTGTACAACTCTCTAGTCTTCTCGATACGGTACAATAGGGCGACGGCGAGACCGACTGCGAACGGACCGACGCGAGTCCACGGCTTGCTGTAGATGTCGGTTGTGAAGTCGGTGACCTGGGGCGACAGGTCAAAGAATGTGGCCAAGTGGAACTTGATGGTGATCCAGATGTTGGTCGTGAAGCAGACTGCCAACAGAGCGACGATCATCAACCACCCTGCTGGCTTGAACTTGCGGTAGGCCAAGAGAACGAATGGCGCAAGAAGGTAGAACTGCATGTCGTTGGCCAGGTACCATGACCAACCCATACACTCTTGGTCCAATGTGGCAGGGTACATGTTGTTGATGTACAACAAGTTGGTCCACCAATATTGGTCACAGCTGGACGACACGTTGTATTGGTACCAGAGTGGGCCACTTCCAAACATTGGCGACAGTTGCCAGAGAACAAACAGTAGGAAGTAGTAGAGTGGTGACAGTCTGAGTAGACGATGAACGACGTATTGGAGCCAGAACAATAGACCTGAGCCCTTGCCACTCTCCTCGCGTTTGTCCAGTTGCACCAGCACGGTGTGAGCCACGAGGAAACCACTTAGCATAAAGAAGATGTCCACAGCGAACTCCCCAGCAGGCAAGGCTTGGAATGTGAACAACTGGCGCACGTCGGTAAAGACGTATGATATGTTGTCAATTCCAAGTTGGGCAGAGAATAGGAGGGAGTGACCAAGGAGCACCCAACATGTTGACAGGGTCCTTATTCCATCGAGGGCATCGAAGCGACGGTTTGAAGAGGCGCCTTGGGTGAATGATCGGTAGTTGGATATCAAAGAGAAGGCAAGGAACACGGCGGCAAACTTTGATCTCTCTCCAAGTGGCTGTTGCTCGTTGACTGGCTCACCAGAGCCATTCTCGCGGATCATTCCAAATCCATCCAACAAAGCTTCGGTCTCATCGGACTTTTTGAATCCACGGGGATACTTGATGGACAGATACTCAACGATCGTGCCAATGGCCATCATCAGACCAAAGAATGTACAGACACCGACCATTACCTTGGCACCAGTGGTCCATGACTTTACAGTGATGTTGTCATAAGAGTTATAGCAGTGGCTAACTGTTTCATTTCCTGGATAGGCAAACACAACTTGTACAGCCAACATCTCCAAGATTGCAGCGGAGAGATCCTCGGTAGTATTACAACTTGAAGGAACACACAATCCAATCACATAAGTATATAGACCATAGTCTGGAACATTAATTGTTGATTGATACACACAATAATGTGCACTTGGAGCCATTCCCAAACAGTCATCAATATTTCCAAGATCACCAGGACCTCTTCCAGTATTCATGATCACTAATTATTAATAAAAAAATAAATTAGTATTTCAATTGGATGATTGATTGATTGATTGAAAGAATGATTAAGTACATACTTCCAGCATCCAAGGTTGGTTCAGTGTAGAATAACATGTGTTCTATATCTGTGATACATTGTTCACTTGGAAGGACAGCTTCCTTGGAAGCCAATACCAAGGACAGTTGTATTAATACAACAATAAGTATTAATATCTTTATCATAATTATTATATATTATATATATATAACAAATTATTATTATTATTGGTAGTCTTGACTTTGTATCTCAATCAATCGAATAAAATAACAATTCGTTCAAAATGAGTGTGTTTAGTTGATTGATCCGAAAATGATGGGCATGGGAGAAACAAGTAAAAACCAAGCGACAAAACATCGCTTGGGTTCCCAAGATCAATACATTATTAGGTCTCAAATGGTCAATGATGTGACCATCTGAGTTCCATTGATCCTGATCTATGTTCGGAACAGAGTTGTTTCTAAAACAATATATTATGTATCTCAATAATGTGTTTGATCTTGCATCCACAAGTGTGATGAGGTCATCAATCCATTCATTCATTCATTTTTCATTCATCCAAATATCTTTCAGTTTAAGAAATCTACAAACAATCAATCACTGGGAATATATTATATATTAATTATTAAGAATTGTCTAATCAAAGTTCTAATTATTTCCTCAACATCACCCTGGTGATATCTGTATTCTTTGGTTATTGAAAAAGGAAGGTACATTGATAAAATATATATGTTACAACTATTTATTATAAATAGAAGTTCAAGTTCGAAAGTCTCCTATAAACCTTCCTATTTAGTATAACTGCGTCAATCTAACTCGGATCATTCTATTACTTTGAACTTGTGTCATCTCCATCATCATCATTGAGCAAGACAACACTCGACACAACCACCCACCAACAACCAAACAAAAAACAGTCCAGAAAAGGAAAATCTAGTCTTTTTGACTCAACACTTTGGGTCCCAGTCTTTGAAAATCCAACGATCCACGACGTTGTGTTTGGACTAAAAAGGAAACTACCTTATTGGGCAATCGTCTGCGTCTATAGATGGAATAGTTCATCAACCAGAACAAGTATATCTCATCTAGGGCTGGTCCCTTCGACTCTATCCCTACATGACCCGGTGTACTGTTCCAAATCGTACATGGAACTTTGAATAGAATGGTGCCCTCTAGACGATTCTACACCAAAGTAGTAAGTATAGCAATTATGCGAAGGTCTGTTTATTCCATTTATGTTAGTAATATTCTTAAGAATAATAAAATAATAATTATTTACAAATACAGAATCAACTCAAAGTTAACTTATTACTCCAACAATATTTATTTATTCAATCAATCTACAATCAATTAAATATAATACATATAATTATAATAATGGAATTATTCCAAAAGAATATTAAGAAGCTGTTGGCTTCAAATACAATTAATGATGAACCATTTTCAAAGGATAACTATGATCATAATACTTTGGTTGATGATGTATTGGTCAGCTTCAGGATGACCGATGCACAAGTTGGCAACCAGATTATAATCCGTGATAAATGGTATAGATCATTCAATATTTATAACGACAAGTCCATACCAATGGATGAGCGATTAATCAAGATCAAATCTATATTGTCCGATTTCCAATATCAACAATGTCTACTAAGTAATTTCCAACTACTTGGTAATAATGCACCAGTTGTTAGCAATAATATATCACATATGGTTGATTGTATTGCACAACTACAACTAGTTGGAATCGGACATCTCAAAGAGTTCCTCAACACACTAGTATACAGCAAGTACAACAAGGTACCTCAGCTCCAGAAGCTCAACAAGTTTGATCGCAATGGCAAAGTCATCTCAGCACTCAAATCAAGTTTGAACAATCATGTATGTACTTTTATTCACTCATTCAATCAATTAATCAATCATATTTACACCGTTCATCTTGTTTCAGGTATATTATAATATGTATTTCAATGAGAACTGCTTGTTCCAGACAGAATGTTACCAGGATGAGGAGGCCAAGGTAAGATATGAGGCATACCTGTACAGATACAACCAAGACAATAATAAGATTATTGTAAAGTTGTTCATACCCAAGAAGAACCTATCGGACACTTTCAACTTCTTGTACCTCGAGGGTAATGACATGGTGTCACCTCTCAAGAGGATAGAGTTCACCTCAAGATCCCTAACTGAGTGCACAGACAAGTTTAGAGAAATGTAAATATTATTGTTTCCACTTAATCAATTAATTATGATATTAATATTTCTTGAAAATCCTAGGTATCTCAAACTCACAGGAAAGGAGTTCAATCAATCAAACTCTTTCGATCCAGATGGAGACCTGTTTGGAACATTGACACCTGATACCCCACCCAAGAACAGGATACCATCACTCCAACGCATGCTACTTGGTGTCTTGAGACAAAAGATGTTGATGTATGTATTCCAAAATAATAGATATTGTAAAGATACTAACCAATCACTAAATCATTCTATCATAATGTAGATGTCCCAAGGACATTGATACATACCTCGAGGCACTACCAGAGAGACTACTGGAGGACTTCATTACAGAGTGTTTGAATGATAGTACTCCAAATGGATTCGATGCACTACAGGCAATTTTGAGAAAGATAAAACCCGAGGAGAAGGAGTTCCTTAGACTTCCAACACCATCACAACTACTTAGAAGTGCATTGGATCATGATCATTGGTTTTCATTCTCCAACGAGAAGGGCATCGCTCAGAACATCTTCGTACCTCCCTACAACAACAACTTCAAGATCAATGTATATGACAACTATTCTATGTTCATCATCAAGCAATGGTCCAACCAGAATGAATATGTATATAAAGCAGAGCAGTCACTACTATTTGGATCACCATCAATTGTCAAGAGAGATCAATTCAACGAGAACATGAAGTTGATGACACTAGGCACCATCACAGACACATTCAACTGGGACAACACATTACTTGTCGGTTCAATATTGACCAGTTGTCTAACTGGTGATATTGAGAGATATCAAGAGAGTGATATCAACATATACTTCCATGGTCTTGACCGTCTTGAGATCTCAAACAGGATCATGGAGTACATCTCACATCTACCAAGAGTGCCCACGATCATCCACTCATTCAAAGGTGTGATCTCAGTCGCCTGTCACTATCCATACCGCACCATCTCATTCCATCTAGAGTATGTATCCCTTCTGGATTCATTCCAATCAATCGATCACTCACTAACTCACTCAAACTCATTCAATCAATCAATCTTTAGACCATACCTTAACATCGAACACTTATTGGTGACGAATGATATCAATTGTAGTTCGTTTGGATATGATGGACAAGAGGTGTACTGCCTGTATAGATCAATGGAGTCATTGAACTATAGGAGTAACTTTGTCAACAATCAAACATGGACGCTACATGGTGATATACATTATCAACATCGTCTGGTCAAATACTCTGAGCGTGGATTCTCAATCATCTCTGAGGACTACAACTTCTTTGTCAACAACAAGGACTTTGTACCGCATTTCTCTCACAATGGCTTGGCAATGCTAGTGTCGAGCTTCACCAACGTCGAAGTGTACAAGTTCCTGCAGCAGCCATTCTCCATCATCCCATACGGCGTTTCCTGGAACAAGGCAAGCGTGGAGAAGAAGCTGTCCAGCGACAACAAGTTCACCATCCTCTCGCCAGACAAGATCCCATCCATCTGCACCGAGTCTGAGCTCAAGCGAAAGTTCTCGTCCATGTCGTCCAACATGTCCCCATTCATCAATATCGAGCCAAGACCAGAAGTCGACCTACTTTAACTTAACTTAATCTTGTATAATATATGTATCCATTTATCTATCGAACAATCAATGAATGAATGAACTTAGCTCGATGATGTGATTGCTCCAGTGGTGGATGATGATGATGTTGCCACCAATGCCTTGTCGATGAATTGATGGATATACTGCTTAAAGCTATCGAGCATGTTCAACAGAGCATTGGTGTTGAATAGTGATGTTGTGTCCTGTAGTAGTGTGGACGCGGCAGTTGTGGTGCTCGAAGTGGAACAATGTCTAGCGAGTAGTGCCGACACCTTTACGAATGCCGTGCGACTCAACTTGATTCCAAATCCAAGTGCCACTGATATTAGGAATGGTGCCAATATGTAGTCCCTAGATACAATGATCGCGTCCAATATATATCCATTGATTCCCTTCTTTGGTGTCATCATACTATCTTGTTGATACATTGTCTCATTGTTGTTGTTGTTGTTGTAGTATTGTTGATATTGTTCAACAAGTTCAGGCAATGAGTTGTCCATGTTGTTGTTGTCCATGTTGTTTGATTGATCGGTTGTTGGGAACATGTAATGTATACCTCCATTTGGGTTGTAATAGTATTCTGGTGCACCAGTATTATACAGATCATTCTTGATGAACTCTTGGAAGTAATCAAACAAGGCCAACAGGCAATCCAACACCAGGGGCATATTAGCACTCTCCAGCAGATCATTCGGTTGGAACACCAACTCCTCTGGTACATATAGTCTATGTACATTTGATTGTTAGTATGATGATGTTATATCATTGTTCTCATCCATGACATGGCATTGACATACCTGCACTTCTTCAAGAATAGTACGATGTTCTCTTTCTGTTTGAAATGTTGGAGTGGCTCAAAGTCACTGAAGTGGATGTAGTCGGCTGGTTGATGGAAGCGATTCATGAGCTTGCAGAGTATGCGACCGTCGCGAAGCGATGGGTAGAGATGGTCATTGTCAATGGTCACTCTGAGCAACCATTCAATCAATTGTTTAACAGTCAATTGTTTCCTATGTAGTTCTAATAACAGTTGTTGTTGTCTCTGTTGTTGTAATTGTTGTTGTTGTAACAGTTCATCATTTGATAATGTTGATGATGTTGATGATGGCGATGGTAATGATGATGATGAAGTTGTAGTAGTAGTTGTAGATGATGTTGTTGTTGTAGTTGGTGAACCCTTTGATAACCTTTTACCTGTTGTTGATGCTCCTACACCTATTCCTCCACTACCTCCAATCTGATTGTTATTATTATTATTATTACTCATTATACACAAATACAACTACTACCTCTTCAACTTCAAAAAACTACTTTCAAAGTGACGTGTCCCATCATCACCACCTCAATCAACTTTCATTCTGATCTAGCATCCCATAAATCAAAGATTTTGATCAATTTCATTCAATCTCTTTGTTTGAATCAAATACATCATAACATTATTGAAGATATATACATCAATTGTATATCTATTTGATCAATTATTCATTCATTCATTCAAACATAGACACACACAAAGTGATTCAATGATCAGTTGATTCAAGTGAAAATTCATTTGAAATATCTGATTCAGGTGCAAAGGGGGCTTGAAACACAACTTTGAAAGTATCCATCGGTCCTCTCTCATTCACTCACTCACCTCACACCAACTCATAAACATACACATAAACAGGTACAGATACAGACCCCCACATCATTGTAATATTGTTGTTGTATAAGTAGTTGTAGTTGTAAACATTATTATTAGGTTGTATTCATATCTATACATATATATTATATTTTAAATCAATCAAACAAACAAATAAAGAATGGCCTCAAACGCAGCTGGAGTCGACTCAAAGACACAGTTGCTCAAGTCGCTAAAGAATGAGATTGTCGATATAAAGTTGGTGCAACAGAACCAGCGCGAACAGTTTGGAACGGTGGATCAACAGCTGAGGACTGTCGACCAGATGCTCAAGAATCACTCCAGTCTCATCAATGAGGAGAAGGCCACACGCGGCAAGATCACCCAGTGGATCAAGGACAATCTCGGCCCAGACATGTCCGTGCTCAACGAGCAGATTGAGCAGCGCCATGTCGCCGGACTCGAGGACAAGCTCAAGACTCTATACCAGCGTCTGAGCGCCGCCATCTCCTCGGTGCAGGACCAGGTGCGTGCCAACCAGGCCGCCTCGTCCGAAGCCGTCACATCGCTTCTCGAGCAGATGCGCTCCAATCACTCGTCGTTGAACGAACAGATGCGCACACATCAGTCCACCGCAAACGAAGCCGCTGGATCGCTGCTGGAGCAGGTCAGATCCAACCAGTCGACGCTAAACGAGCAGCTGCGAACCAATCAGGCATCGCTCAACGAGCAGCTGAGAAGCAGCCAGGCCGCCGCATCAGACTCGGCGCGCACCGCACAGGCAGCCATGTCCACACGTCTCAACGACATTGCCAACGATCTGCAGGATCGCATCACAAACCTCGACGCTCACATGAAGGCCGGCGAGAACACACTGGACAAGAAGATCTCGGCCACAGTCGCCACTTGCGAGCTGAAGGCCCGCACCGCTGAGGCCGCGCTCGAGCAGCGCATCACCAGCAGCGTGTCAGCACTCGAGTCCCAGATCGGTGTAACTGAGAACAACCTCGACAAGAAGCTGAGCAGCGTCTCCAACTCATTCGACAATCGTCTCAACACCTCGATCACTACGCTCGACTCAAAGATCACCACTTCGGCCACAGTTGTCGGCGCACGTCTCGATGGCGTCGTCTCCAACCTGCTGCAGCGCCTCGAGACCTACAGCAAGGAGCTGCGCACAGAGGTCTCATCAGCCTCAGAGAAGGAATCGGCCCGCGTCAACCGTCTCATGGACAAGATCACCGCGGACGTGGCACTCACACGCAACACAATCAATGAAGACTTGGGCAAGTTCCGCGAGGCCATCGAGGTGGTGGCCAAGCGTGAGCGCGAGTCCATGCAGGACTACGTCGCAACCTATCTCTCGGACCAGTGGCGCGGCACTCTGCTGCCCGCCGTCAACGGCCTGGCTTCAACATATGCCCGCAATGAGGGCAAGCGCGTCCAAGAGGACAGCGCCATGCTGATCCAGTCCGAGATCAACCAGCTACAGTTTGAGTGCGAGCAACGTCTCAAGAGCGAGGTGCAAAAGGTCAAGTACGAGATCAACAGCATCGTCAACCACAAGTCCGACCTGCTGCAGCAAGAGCAGCGCGACTTCCTCTCCCAGGAGCGTCTGTTGCGTGAGGAGGATCGCAAGTACCTCGAGGCACTCAAGTCCTCCATCTTCCTCCAACTCAAAGAGGCCCGCGTTGAGCGCGAGCAGCTCGCCAACCAGATGAACCTCTTCCTCAAGGACACCAATGTTACTAATGGTACGTGGCCAGCGTCGTGTGGACATGTTAACGCGCAGCTAACTAACAAACACTATCATTCACACAAACAGAGAGCACTATGGAGAAGCAGGTGGACAGCTCAAACGCTGTGCTCAAGCACAACGAGGAGTTGCTGGCACAATTGGAGGTCAGCCGCAAGAACAGGATGAGAGAGATTGAGGAGAATGAGCAGAAGCTGAGAGAGCAGCGCGATAGAATGGAGCGTGAACAGTTGGACTTGGACTCACTTTCAAAGCACTCTCGCGAGAATGAGGAGAAGCTCCATCTCGAGCAACTCAAGCTCGAGAACCTGCAGAGGAAGCGCGAGTATGACGAGAGAAACCGTCTGAGAGAGGAGGAGCGCAACAAGGAGATGGCTGAGTTGCTGGCCAAGCAGAAGGAGGCCGAGCGTGAGCTTGAGGCCCAACGCGAGGAGAAGTCGCGTCTCAAGGCACAACGCGAGGCAGAGGACAGACAGAGAGAGACGGAAGATCGTGAGCGCGAGCAACGCCGTCGCGAGGATTACGAGAAGAAGCGTCGCGATGAGGATGAGGAGTGGAAGCGCCGTGAGGCCCACTTTGAGTCCGAGCTGGCCAAGGAGCGCGAGAAGCAACGTCAGATCCAGGAGGAGCGCGAGAGAGAGATGGCCAAGTTGTTGGAGCAGGAGAACCAGCGCCAGAAGGATGCCCAATCCCTCATTGAGGTCGAGAAGACCAAGGCCAAGGAGTTGGAGCAGTCGCTGGCCGCAGAGATCGCCCGCCAGGAGAAGGAGAGGAAGGAGATCGAGGCACAGAAGGAGCGCGACATTGCCTTCCACAAGCAACAGCTGGCTGAGAGGATGACCCAATTGGAGGCCGACGCCCAGGCCGAGAAGAAGAGACTGCTGGATGCTGAGGCCGAGGCGGAAAAGCGTAGACAACAAGAGCACGAAGCCAACGAGAGAAAGAGACAGGCAGAGGCTGATGCTCAAGCCGAAAAGAGAAGACAACAAGATGCTGAGGCACAGGCTGAGAGAAAGAGACAGGCCGACGCCGACGCCCAGGCCGAGAGAAGGAGACAACAGGAGGCTGAGGAGGCTGACAGACAGAGACAGTTGGATACCGAGGCACAGGCAGAGAGAAGGAGACAACAAGATGCCGCTGATGCTCAAGCTGAGAAGAAGAGACAGCAACAACAGGAGGCTGATGCCAAGGCTGCTGAGAAGAGGAGACAGCAAGAGGCCGCTGATGCCCAGCAACAGGAGGCTGAAGCCAGAGCCGAGAAGAGAAGACAACAAGAAGCCGCCGATGCTCAAGCTGAGAAGAAGAGACAACAACAACAGGAGGCTGATGCTCTGGCTGAGAAGAAGCGTCAACAACAACAGGAGGCCGATGCCAAGGCAGAGAAGAGGAGACAGCAGGAGGCCGAGGCACAGGCTGAGAAGAAGCGTCAACAAGAAGCCGATGCTCAAGCCCAAAAGAAGAAGCAACAAGAGGCTGAAGCTGCCGCCGCCGCTGAAAAGAAGAGACCAGTCAGAGGAGCCCTCCCAGTTGCTCCAAAGAAGGAAGTCGTCGTCGAGGAGGAGGATGAAGAGGAGGAACCCCCCAAGGCTGCCACTTCAGTCTTTAGCAGGAAGAATGCCTTTGTCGCCGAGGAGCCATCACCCAAGAAGGAGGTAGTCGTCGAGGCCCCCGCAAAGAAGGAGGAGGACGCACCATCAACAAAGAAGACTGCTGACAAGAAGAAGTTCTTTGAGGATGCACCATTATCATCGTCTTCCAAGAAGGAGGTCGTTGTCGAGGATGAGCCACCAAAGAAGAAGGCCGCCGCTGCACCAGCTCCAAAGAAGGAGTCCACTGGTGAGAACCCAGACGTTGAGTGCGATGTCTCTGCACCAGAGATGCGCGACGCTTGGGAGGACATCAGAGACGATGACTCTTCCACCAACTGGATGCTCCTTGGCTATGGCAACATGAAGAAGACTCTCTCACTCTACGGCTCTGGCTCAGGTGGTCTCAAGGAGATGCTGTCCAACCTCAAGGAGGAGGTCATGTACGGATACCTCCGTGTCCCATACGGTGACTCTGATCGTGCCAAGTTTGTCTTTATGACGTAAGTATCGATTGATTGATGGATTGGAATAATCCCTAACTTAATGCTCATTAGATACGTCCCTGAGATACTGTCTGGTATTGCAAAGGCCAAGGCCAACATGCACAAGCCACACGTTGACAAGTTCTTCAAGTACCATCACACTCAACTGCAGGTCATGTCCAGAGACGAGATCTCTGACACCATCATTGAGAACAAGCTCAAGGCTGCCGCCGGTGCCAACTATGGCAAGGGTACATCACCAGACGACACCTCCAGAACCGAGAACTTCAAGGGCATCAAGGAGAACGCCAAGATCTTCTACAACAAGACCGAGAAGTCCTTGCCAAAGGGTGGCGGTGTCGAGATCGTCTACAACAAGGGTCCATTGGGTAACACCACACCTCTCAACCTGTCTGGCCGTGCCGGTATCACTGAGAAGTACATCAAGAATGACCTGAAGAGTGGACACGTCGATGACAGCAAAGACGAGTATCGCATTCCCTCAAGGAATCGTGCTAGCTCCACCGCCTCCAATGACTCCAACGAGGAGCCAGAGGAGCCAGTCGTCAAGCCAAAGGCCACCAGCAAGAAGTCTGCCGCCCCCAAGAAGGAGAAGGAGGAGGAGGTTGCCGAACACACTCCAGAGCCAGAGAAGCCCAAGGCCAAACCATTGGCCAAACCTGTCCAGAAGGAAGAGGTTGCCGAGCCAGAGAAGCCCAAGCTGAAGCCCACCATCAAGAACAAGCCAGAGGTTAAGTCTGAGAGCGAGAGCGAGGAGGAGACCACTGGTGGTGGCGCTCCCAACAAGAACATGTTCAAGAAGATGGCCAAGAACAACGAGGTGCCACAGTCACTCGGCTCAGAGAAGTGCACTGTTTGTGCCAAGACCGTCTACAACACTGAGAGACTGTCTGCTGACGAGAGAGTATTCCACAAGGCCTGTTTCAGATGTGCCTTCTGTAACTCCCAGCTCAAGTTGGGTTCATACGCTTCGATGGAGTCCAAGGCCTACTGCAAGCCATGTTTCAAGAAGACCTTCATGTCCAAGGGCAACTACAGCGAGGGCTTTGGCAAGCTGAAGCCACAGCATCAGTTTGAGGCCAAACGCAAGTCACACGAGGATGACGACGACCACGTCGCTGCCCCTGCCTCGGACAAGACCAAGGAGATTGAGGCTCAACGTGAGAAGGAGAAGCTAAGACAACAACAGGAGCTGAAAGAGGAGAAGGACAGAAGAGAGAGGCTGAAGAACTCACAGCAGGAGACTCCCGCCCCAAAGAAGGCACCCGTCAAGGTTGAAGAGCCAAGCGATGACGAGGAAGAGCAACAGAGGGAGCAGGAGGAGCAACAGAGAAAGGCTGCTGCCGCCGAGGAGAAGAAGAGAAAGGAAAGAGACGAGCGTGAGAGACGCGAGAAGGAGGACAAGGAGAAGAAGGATAGACAAGAGAAGGAGGACAGAGAGAAGCGTGAGCGTGCTGTTGCCGCCGCCGAGAAGGAGAGAGAGGAGAAGAAGCGCCAGCAAGAGGAGAGAGAGAGACGTGAGAACGAGGAGAGAGCCGCCGCTGCCAAGGAAGTCGAAGTCAAGACCCCAGACAAAGCCAACAACAAGGGTTCTGATGACAAATTCCTTTCAGAGTACGAGAAGAAGAAGGAGGCCGCACTAAAGGGCAACTCACGTACATCATTGGCCTCGGCATCCAGCCAGCCTTCCAGCTCCCAGAAGAAGGAGACGTCATCTCTCTTCAACCTCACCGAGGAGGAGGATGATTTGTTCAAGTAATCAATCACACACCACCTGGACGTTGATGGATATCTGGTATCTTCCACTTGGCTTGTCCACTACTACATTCTGCCAACTATATATAATACGAATCTATAACCCTATGTAATACAACAACAACATAACCATTTATCTCCTTGGGGTGGCACTACATTACATCACATCACAGTTTATTATGATCTGCTGATACTACAATGTCAAACTCACTCGAGTTGAACTTGGGGAATATCGATGGACTGGAATAGGAACCGTAGGGACTGGTTGATTCCTGATTGGCAAACTCCACCGAGTGCTGATTATGATACCCACTGGATCTTGGCGATGGAACATTCGCCGATGATGATCTCAGCTGCTTACTTGATGTTTCCGAGCGTGCACTTGATGTCTTGGCTGATTTGATACTCCTAACCATATTGGCTACAAGATATTATATGATTTGATTAATAACTCCTTCCCTTACTTCTTCATCTTCCTCCTCTTGATGTCTGAACATACCCCAAACTAGTGGATCTTCGCCCAATCTTGGATAGGTGAACCCCAGTATGTTCCTGTTCTGCTTTGTCCTTGATGAAGTGATCGTTCCGCCAGAGTTCTTGTTGGTATATACAACTGTTGTCCTATCCTTCTCAAAGTATGTAGTATCCATTTCATCCGAAAGCTATTATTATTGAGTACGCGTGAGGTTAGTAAGTGGTTGTCAACATCAATCAACCACAACTACAATACATACTAATGGTACAAAGGGTGGCTCATTCTCATGTAACTTTCCCCAGTCTACTCCAGTAAAGAATGGATGGTTTTTGATGTTCTCCACTCCTCGCTCTCCTCTTCCTAATCTCGTGTTTCCATCAGTAATTAAACTAAAAGAGGAATAAGACAGTTGTTGTTTGTTAGTATGGCTGGTGAATGAATAAATGAATGAATGATAAACATACCATGATATCAAATTCCAGAGTTCGTCAGAGATATTTGGAGGTCTTTGTAGGTTTGCCTTCCAATCGAGTACAGTCTCCATTACTTCCTCGGGTGAGTCTCCATCGAATGGGGGAATGCCACACACAAACTCGTAGAACATGCATCCAAGTGACCACCAGTCGACCTCGTCTCCATAGCCTGTGGTCGCCTCGAGCACTTCAGGCGCCATGTAGAATGGACTGCCCACGACAGAGTAGGCAACGTTGACAACGTCCTTGAACGATCCAAAGCCAGAGAAATCTGTGACTGATGAACTGAGCATGTGACTGGAGAACTTCATTGGTGTGTGCTCCATGACTGATGAGGTGGATCCGCCAGGCGTGCCCTTAGCCGACTTGACATAGTTGGTGAACATCTTTGATAGACCAAAGTCGGCAAGCTTAATATGACCGGTCTTGTCGATGAGAAAGTTCTCTGGTTTGAGGTCGCGATGACAGTAGCCCAGTTGGTGACAGGCGTCGACCGCCTCCACCATTTCTGCCATGTAGAACCGCGAGTTCTCCTCCTCGAGACATCCAAGTGCGCTGAGCAAAGACCGCAGGTCGCCACCCGCCACGTACTCCATCGCCAGGTAGAGATGCTGATCATCTTGGAATGAGTAGACCAGTGAGACTATCCAACGATGATTCCTACCCTGTGCCAAAATGTCGCGCTCGTTCTTAATATGTGACACTTTGTTCTTGGACCAAACCAAGTCCTTGGACATGCGCTTGAGTGCCAAGATCTCGCCAGTGTCAATCTTCTTTGCCAGGAACACTTGGCCAAAGCCACCCTCGCCAATCTTCTCGATCAGGTCAAAGTCGTCGATGGTGACGTGCTTGGACTGCATCGAGATGGGAGTGGTTGGCGTGACTGGCGTGGTGAGTGAGTGATGGCTGTACATTGATGAGGAGATGGGTGTGGAAAGGACGCTGATCTGGGTGCCCATCAGCTCGGGCGAGTTGTCCATAGCCTGCTGCTGCTGATGTTGTTGCTGCTGCTGCTGCTGGAGTTGCGTTGGATTTACAATAGGGATGGGAGGCGATGCCGAGTGAGCTATTTTACAAGTTGGTGAAGGTGATGATGTGGGAGTGATTGATGGTGATCTCGATGGGTTCTGTGAGTAAATGATGTTCTTGAATGAGTTTGATCGGCCTCTGCTTATTGATGGTGATCTACGCTCAGATATTGATGATGTTCCATTGGGACTGTCACCGTTGTTGTTTGTGTCTGGTATCAGAGTATGAGGTTGATTGCATAGTAGTGAAGGGGAGAGTGGCGGTGAGGAACGAGGTCGATCATTCCTCATGAATCTCTTCTGTTGCTGTGTCATATGTATAGGTGAGCAATCATCCAACTCATCCTCAAGGAATGATTGATGAGATGTTGATCGTCTAAAGCCCATCATCTTATTTGTTGATGATAGTGTATTTGATGATGACCTTGTTGTTGTGTTTATCAATGAATGATTATTGTTATTATTGACTATGTTGTTGGATGTGTTGGCTGTGTTGTTGCTGTTGTTGTTGATGCTTAGATGTGTGCTGTAGGCACTGATCAGTGATTGAAGCGACTCTGAGTGTTTCAGTTTTGTTGGCTTCAGTGGGGGAGTCCTTATTGCGTTCTGCGTTGTACTTAGAAACTTTGGTGAGTTCTGTATATCTGCGATCGAAGTAGTCGTTCCCTTCTCTTTTGTTGTCGTTGCCAATATACGTGAGTCAGCATCATCGTCGTCATTATTATTCTGTTCTGCCATTTATAGGCCTTTAATAAATAAATAATATATAGAATGGGTTTGATTGATTGATTGATTGATTGATAATGAATATATTACAAAGTAGTAAATAGATAGATAGATAATAGTGATGTGTAAGGGAGATAAAAATAATAATAATAGTGAATGATGGTAGATTGACGAGATTGAATGATATGAATAGATTCGAGGAATAATCAATCCAACGACTACGTCTGGATGGTGAAATGGGTGCAAGGGATTGGATGGTGATGGGGCGTCAACGGAATTGAATTTTGAGTCCAAGGGTGACAGAGTCGTTTTTTCCTATTTTTATCAATTTATTGATCAATCTCGAACTCAAATAATACGTTGGTGGTGACAATGACGAGAGTTAGATTGAGAACTTTAAAGGACACGTTTGTTTGGTTGTAAGGTGTAAGGTGTATAATTGTCTGTGTGTGTTGTGTGTAAGTCGGTTGTTGGTATTGGTATCCAATGGACAGTGATGATGATGTTGATTAGTTGGAAGTACAAACACACATGATGACTCAATTAATCCTTCCTTTTCTCTTCTAATCTACTCAATTAATAATGGGAAAATAACTAGAAGTTTGAGGTCCAACTCAAAACGATCTCGAGGAGTCGGGATTAGCAATGTTGAGAATACGAACCTTTTCGATTGTTTGGATGATTGATTGATTAAAAGAGATAATAAATAATTAATGAAGAGAATGAGTCACTCAACTAATCCATATGTGAGTTGATGATGTAATTCACTCACTCAATGAGAGAGAGAGACCAAAGTGGATCATTGATTGATTGAATATGAGTGTGATTAATCAAAAGGGTGCGAAGAAGTTATAATAAAATGAGTATAAAGTCGTTGAGATAGGAGATAAACGAAAAAGGAGGGAGATGTACCCCCAGGCCATCTTGAGAGTGAGGGCACCAGGTTTTAAATTCAAACTAGCTTGGGCCGATTCTTGGGAGTTATAACCCCCACACCACACACTTTACAAACGAATGAATGACCAACCAATATGGAAGTGTCGGTATAGATTGATTGAGATGGAATGGAATGGACCGAACGAATGAATGAATATGATGTTGTTTGTGTATTTACACTAAGTATTACTTTGAGCTTGCTTCTTCTTCTCAAACAAGCTTCGTATGCGTTGGAGATGGAGAACCCAAATCGTGTGTGTGTTTGACGACGACCATCTGGCCGTTAGTTGATCCTCTTGTGCTCTGGCTTATGTCTGAACTCATAGTCCACGTGAACAAACGCTCTCTCTACCTCTGGCAACGTCTCTAACTTGATCTGGAGTGATTCTCCAATGTCATGAGTCTGAGGTTCGCGCGAGTGTAGTAAATGTTAGTGATTGATCGACCGAAAGATTGATTGAATGAATGCACTTACCTTGATCAATGGCATATTTGGTGGGAGAACAATATCGACCTCAACGAATAGGTTGTTACCAACGTGGAAGGCACGACAGGTGTCTACTTTGAGTACCTCTGGACTGTGGGAGACGGCAATGTAGGTGAGACGCTGGAGGAACTCTGGCGAGGCGGACTTGCCAACGAGCAATTCGATCTGCTCATAGGCCTGCGACGTCCACGAACGGAGAATGATGGCGGCGACGAGCAGCGCACCAATTGGGTCGAGCCACCATCTGACGTACGTGCCCAGGATGGCCATGACGATACCGAACGAGTTGACGGTGATGTCGTTTCTGTGGTCCAGCGCCAGGGTCATGGCGGACGACGAGTGAGTGAGCACGCGGCAATAGAGGTACATCAGAATCTTGCAGCCAATGGCCACGACGACAAAGGTGATGGGCATGACGCCCAGCGTCAGCTCCTCAGAGTCCTGCTTGATGAGCTTGGTGCTGCCATCGATGATCAGATTGAACGACACGGTGGACATGAGCGCCGCAAAGATAATGATGCCGACGGGCTCCATGCGCGACTTGCCCGTGGGGTACTTGAAGTAGTTTTGCTTCTTGCGTGCGCGAGCAGTCATGAAGAGAATGAAGCCGCTCAGCAAGTCCATGAAGGAGTCGATCGATGTCGACGCAAGAGACAGCGATCCAGTGATGAGGGTGGCCGTGAGCTGCATGGCGAAAAGCACGACGTTGACGAGCAGCGAGCCGTTGATGGCCATCTTGACCTTGAAGTCGTCCTCGTCGTCGTCCTGGGGCGTCTCGTCGAGCGGCGACAGGAACTGGTCGATCAGCTCGTTCTGCTTGATGTAGAAACCTCTGTGTCGCTTGCTCTTGAGTGTGGCGATCTCGGTCTGATCCATGCGCTTCTGTGTCAGGATGTTGCGCAGGTCCTCGGTCTGCTTGGCGTGGCGACGGAACACCAGCTCGGTCTGTGCCGGCGAGTAGGGGTAGCTGTACTCGTCGAATGCGTTGTTTGAGCTGGCCTCGCCCGACTCGTCATTGATGATCTCAATGTTGTTTGGCGATCCGACACTATTGCTCAGCGGTGAGTTTGTACCGTCGATGCTTGGAACCAGACGCTCATTCTCCTCGGTACCGGCGTACTGGTATTGATCCTCCTCATTATCCTTGAATTTTTGATATCCTTGGAACATTTTATATTATATTATAATATTATTATTACAACAATAAAGATATAAATGTGTACAAAGTGGAATGAAGTATCGATCACGCACGACAACTCTTCTCCTACTTTTGGAATTTTGTGTGTTTCCCCATGTTCAACTCTTTTTTGACACTTTGACGCATGGTGTCTCGGACAACCCACCACATTGTCGTGTGAAGGCCAACTTTAGATACTTTAATACTTGATGTCCCTGGGTCCAACCAACCCCATTGAGTGATGCGGACAATAGGTGTCAATCGTGACCTGTCACAATCAGCAATCCCATCTCTCTTTCTATCTATCTTTCGGTACCTTGAGCCAAAATAAAAAAGAAAAAGGACTCTTTGGTCATTTGCAGGATTGATGGCGAAGAAGGAAGGAAGCAAGGTGAGTGTTTATTAAATACAAAGGCCTGTTGAAGGTCATGTGCGTGATTGCTTGAATCGCATAATACATGGTTGTTTGCAATGTTATGATTGTGTGAGTGATGTGTTGGTATCCTCCCAAAAGGGTATCGATGTGATAGAGATTAATGAGTCGTGATGGATGTGATTGGATTGATTGGATTGGATTGGATGGAGGGAGGACTTGGGAAAAAAAGTGATGTGAGTGATTGATTGAGGTGAGCGAGGTGTGATTGAGGGTGGTCTAAAGGACTATTTTGGATAAATAGAGGGTTGTTGATCGTTGATTGACGGGGAACCTGAAGTGGTTGTAGGGCCATCCATGCGTGTCTCTCGGGAGAATGGTTGGGATGGGGGTTGGATGATTGGTTGGTAGGTAGGTAGGTAGGGCGGATGGTCACGTCCACGTCATCCCACATAGGTCAAACGATTCGATCGGACAAGGTTGTATATATAGTTGATAGCGGTGGAGTTGGTTGGATGGTTGGTTGGATGGGCTGTCTCACTGACATGATGAGACGACACTACGTTCAAAAGCTTGGTTGACCGTTGATAAAGGATTTGGAGTGGTTGAGCAGACTGTTGGAGGAGTTCAGTGTCATTGGTAGTGAGCCCATATTCAACGGCGAAGAGTGATTAAGTGAGTTGTTGGAATGAATGGTGTTTGAATGAGTGTTGTTGTTGTTGTTTGAATGGGTGTTGTTGTTGTTGTTGTTGGATGTTGAATGCACTGGGTTGAAGATACCTCCATGTTGTTGTTGGTTGTGCTGCTGCTGTTGCTGTTGTTGTTGCATGGCGAATCCAAGACCATCAAGGGAAGAGTCACAAAAGTCGGATGATGAACCACCCATGCCACCACTGCGCGGCGATGAGATGGAGGGCGATGAGATCTCCTCCTCACCGGCGTTGGCCGAGCGACTGCTCGAGTTGCACTGGTCCAACAACACTTGGTGCTGGTCACGGTATTGCTGGTTGGCCAAGTTAATGGCCAGGTTGTGTATCAACAGCGTCATTGTCTCGCGATCGATCTGGGACATCTCGTTGAGCGAGTCGGTGTAGGATGGGTTGTTGGATTCGAACAGAGTCGACAGGAAGTTGTAAATCTTGGGATAGTTGGGCGACACGCTGACGTTGGCTCCGCCACGGTTCGATGTCTGGGCCGCCGACATGGCCGTCTGTATATATTGCTGTGCCTGGTGCAACTGCTCCAGCTGTTGGCGGTGCACGTCCACCGAGTTCATGTTGGCGCTGCCCATGGTGGCGGCGCCCGTCGAGGGGTCTATCGAGGGCATCAGGCCACGATAGCTCATCCAGTGCACAAAGGATGCCGAGTTGATGAAGGGGTTGCCCGAGAGTGAGTCGGGCATCATTCCATTGAGACTCTGATCGTTCTTGGCCTTTTGTGGATAGGGCTGCACCGACTTCCTCTTTGGGCGGGGTGGTGGGATTCGCTCGCCAGTATTATTCTTCTGTACCTTTATAAAGTACTTCTGGGCATGACTTCGTATCTGAATAACAGTCTTTGTTCCAACGAATCCTTCTATCTTTTTCCAATCTCTATCGAATCTGTTTTTGTTTCGTTTCATGTTGGATGTAAGTATCATGATGTTTGCAAGTTAAACGTCGTGGCTACATACAGTGTGAGAGCTTCAAGGAACTTGTTGTGTTCGTCATCGGTCCAATTCTCTCTTTGCTTTGTGATTGTATATGGTTTACGTGACTTATTTGATGCATCTGCTGCCGCTGCTGCTGCTGCTGCTGCCTGCTGTTGTTGTAATAACTGTTGTTGTTGTTGTTGCTGCTGCTGTTGCTGCTGCGTAACAGGTACTGTTTGACTAAATGACATTTCTAATCTATTCTCTTAGTTATTGTGTATGTGTATATAGATATAGTATAAGATCTGAATGAATGATGATTGATATCTATTTGTTGTTTTGATCGATCAAATTTAGTGTGTGTGTGAGTGTGTGTGTTAATATCTCTGTCTTAACTAATATCTATCTATCTGTATCCGACGCAAAAGATGTATAAGATCAATCAATCATAAAAAAGAAGAATAAGAGTGGAAGAGTGATTTGATTTGTGAATGGAAAGGTAGGTTTGTTGTTGTTGGTTGGTTGGGGTAGGTAGGACAGGACACAACACGCAACTATCCTGATGTTGTTGTTGTTGCTGTTGATTGATGGAGATGATGATGTGAGTTGTAGGAGCCTACACTTGATGATGATGTTTATCTAACTCTCTTGTTGCTTGCTTTTGTGTGTGTGTGAGGTGAGTTGAGTGAGAACACAAAAAATCTAAAACATCTCTCGCACTCAACCATAAACCCCAACATCTGTGTGTTGGAGATAATAACTCTCTCTCTAAATTATAAATAAAATAAAAATAAAATCATGATATGTTTTTTTGGTGTGGTGTCGTTATGGGGGTCATCTATCTTAGAGAGTTCCACGTTTTTTTTTTGTGTGTGTGATGCAATGGTTGAACGAAAGGATGGGATATGTGTGGGATGGGTCCTTTCAAACAAACACACACACACATCAAACAAACTGACTTGGATGAACGAATGAATGAATGAATGACGGACTGCCTTTGGTGGATCTTAGATGAGACGAACAAAACACCATCAATGGCAATATGTAGTGATAAGATGGTAGTGTCCTCCAATGGTTGTCGGAGATTGCCAGTGGACCAGTTACCTCTTTTGTCTGGACGTGTTGTGTAGTGTGTGGCGATTGGTTGGTTGGTCGCCGAGGTCCTTAATAGACTGCCTGGCGGCGGTAACGACAACGAACATTCGATTCGTGATTACCAATTGGTAATTGATCGATTTCGATTCGACAAACGACCGTTTTACAACTTACTATCTACTCCGAGTCGTAGGTTAAAGGATGACGTGGAATTACACAAGTAAAGTATATTTGTTTGAACGACTAAAGTCAACAAATGGTCAATGATTTGGATATATAATTATTAATAAATATTATTGATATTGATTAGATAAATAATAGATTTATGAGTGTGTAAGATACTAATATGTTTAGATCACAATAAATATCAATCAAACAATCAAGTTTGATTTGATGTATGTGCGCTTGTGTGCAAATATATTAAACGTGTGCTGCCTTGCCTGCCACGCAACAACAACCAAACTTTGGCAATAATAACAACAACAGCTGTAATCGTAAATTAAACAGCATGGTAAAGGGGCGGGGCTTGAATGACAAATATAATCACTGTGTTCTTGTGTTTGGTGTTTGGTGTTTGAGTGGGAGTGAACATCAACAGCAACGATTGAGTAAGTGTTTGGACTTAAGGGGCAGGAGATCGTGGTGGTCCACTTAGATGATGTTACTCATCATCACCAATACCAGTCAGTCCGCAAAGAAGGGAGCAAATGACAAACAATCAATTGATGATTTAAAATCACAAGTCTTATCCATATTGTGGATTGATTGAATGAATGAATGAATGATTGATTGATTGATTGATCGATCACATAGTTAGCAGTGTTGCCAATTGCTGGCGACATGATAGTTGTCATGGAAGGTAACAAACAAGTTGTTGTTGTCAACAAAATAGCAAAGGAAAGGAAAGGAAAGGAAACAAATAAGTGATGCTGAGCATTGCACATAATTGTGCTTGGTGAAAGTAGATATGTGTAGATGGATATTCTTACTGTTTACGAACGGACGGATGATAAACAATGGTTGAATACGACGATCAACGTTGGATTTCAAACACATGAGGCAAACATTCAAGTCTCTCTCATCCTGAGGACTGGTATACCTCACTAACGAACAACAAACAAACAAAACAAAACAACCTCGTCAATAACTCGCAGACAGGATATTGCTGAGCTGTCATTGTGGATGGTCATACATACATACCATAGACACAAAAGATAGAATAGAATGAATGAATGAAAAGTGTAAGATGTTGATGTCGGTGAAGATACTTACATAAGTATCTTGAACAATTATCTGGCCCCGTGATCAACTAAAGTCTGATACTTTGGATAAATTTTATAATAAAGTTGGCCAAGATAAAACAATAATTTATGTTATATCTAATAAAGCTTGTTCGCTCGGGCCGATAAGATTGCTTGCGAATCGAATTCGAGTGTAGAGTGAGAGAATAGAATGAATGGATGGGATGAAAGGTATCTTTGAACTTGAATGCTATGAGTGAATATAAGAAATGTGTAGAGATTGATTGGTTGTTGGTGTGCGGTGTGAGCTGATGTATGAGTGATCACCTTACGAATAATAATATCTGTTTGTTTAGTTGGATAATTATGATTTTGTTTGATTGATTGATTGATACGATAGGATCACAAGGCCAAGGTCTTCTCCTTAGTCCAACGACACGTGCTCTTTGAATAGTGTAGATGGATGTAAGGATGGATGTGGATGGATGTGTGAATCAATCCAAGCCAAAAAATATCCAAACACTTTAGTTTAGGGGTGGGGCACACAAAAGGACCTTTGTTCCTTTTCGCCCATTTATAGCTTCTGGTGTGTTGGTGTGTGGAAAGTCGAGTTTGACTCAATGTAATGTTGATGAAATGGATAGCATCAGGAAAGGGTTATAGAATAATCGTAGAGACCTTTGAAAAGGTTGCTTACTCCATCTTCCTATTTATCTCTCGTTTTTTTTTGGTTTCTTCTTGTTGTCTTTGTGTCACACTAAGATATTATTTTCTGAGCACTTCCATTTCCAACACTTGTTGTCTATTCAATTAAAACCGAGCTCGGTCGACCTCCACAACGATAGATGATTATTCGAATCATCGACAAGATATCAAAAGTAAAGTTCATCTCCATCCGATGGATGTTATGCAGTGAACTACATTGAAATATAGATAGATACTAATTATTTTTAAGATATTGTTGAAGTTGACTGAGGTTCATCCAATAAGTGAAGGGTGGTTTTGTGTTATTTCTATCCACAACAACCATTGTATACAATATCAATGATACACTTGTTATGGGCAAATCACAACATTATTACAAGTATTTGTCGATTACTCATCACATTGATCAAAAAAGGATAAAATAATTGCCAAAGTTTATCACCATGTCGCCATTGGGGCTGTGTCAGGCTCACATGTTTGTCGAAGGACACTTCAACACAGGTTCACCCCGCAACCCCATTCTCTGACTCCCTCATTCATTCATTCATCATTCATTCATTCAATTCAACTTAAGTAATATCTATATCTGTATCTGTAGTTGTAGTAGTTGTAGTCTTTGTTGTAGCAATATATAAAGACGGTGTATGTTTATACAATGAATAAACAAACATCGTCAAAAAGCAGCAGCAGCGACAACAGCGCCAACAGCACTAGTAGTAGCGATACAGGCGCATCATCAACAAGAATTCAAAGGAGATTCTTACATCAGTATGGAAAGTACTCGAGTATCTATAGACATCCACTTGCATTGTGGGCCGAGAAATGGTGGAGACGCGCCATGTCCATTGCGATGATTGCCGTCGTCTTTGTCATCTTGACGGCGCTGTTCCCATTGTTGGCGATCGTCGCGCTCATTGCCGACGCCATCCTCTACTCGAAGCGCCACGGACTCAACTACGTGCGCGTGCTCGCCTTCTTTGAAACCTACCTGGTGATCGAGTTCATCGCCATCTTCTCATGCATGATCATCTACCTCGTCTACATGCTCTCGCTGCTGGTCGATGGAGACGCCAAGCGCGAGCGATGGGACCGCTGGAACTATTGGTACCAGTCGTGGTGGGGAGGCATGATGATGTTTGGTTGGAGCACCAAGGCCATGGGCCTCTCTGTTCAGATCGAGATCAAGGGCGGCAATGAAGACTTCATTGCCCCATGGAGCCAGAAGGGCATCCGCGAGCGTGTCGCCAAGGCCATTGGCCAAACACCAAAGATCATGTTCCTTCGTCATGCCAGCTTTGCCGATACTCTGGTTCCACAGTATGTACCTACATCAGATTGATCATTCAATGTGATGGCACCTACTAACACTTTACAAACAGAGGAATACTGTCAGACTTCTTCCACTTGAGATACATTGTCAAGCAGGAGTTGCTCTGGGACCCAGGTTTGGATATCTCTGGTTCAAGAACACCAAACTTCTTCTTGTTTAGAGATGCTGGCGCTGAGGGAATGGAGGTAGAGATGGAGGCAATCACCAATCTTATCAAGGACTTCAAACCAAATGTATGTTTTGTTTGTTGATGGATCAATCAATGGAGGCACATGATGATCACACTGATGCTGACTGACTAACTTGGGACATAGGGTAATGAGGTGACATGCATTTGGCCAGAGGGAACTAGGTTCTCAAAGTCAAAGAGAGAGAAGGTGTTGGAGAGCTTGAAGAAGAAGAATGATCCAAAGTATGAGTTTGCCGCCAAGCTCAAGCACACCCTTCTTCCAAGAGTTGGAGGTGCTCTTGCAATGTTGGAAGCTAACCCATGCGCTGATGTCGTATGTATCCTCACATGATCAATCAATCAACCAACCTCAAACTAACACATCATCATCATCAGATCTTCTGCTCTCACATTGGTCTCGAGGCATCTTCCAACTTTGCTCAGGTATGTTTACCAACGTGTTGGCGATCATCATTCAATCACTCACTCGACTGATCACTCACACTCAATCAATCAAACATAGATGATGGAAGGAAGAATGTGCAACAGGATTGTCAAGATTAGATTCTCCAGAGTCAAATATGAGGACATTCCAAAGACTAAGCAAGAGAGGATTGATTGGATTCTTGAGAACTGGGTCGACATTGACACATGGACCGACAAGCAGTTGGCTCTTGAGAAAGAGGAGCACAAGAAGAAATACAATTAATTAATTAAAAAGTAATCTATACTCATTATCATTCATCCACCACCAACATCGGCTGGTATTGGTCGCCATCCTACTCGCGTGACAGAGGCCCTGGCCCTTTGCATGTGCCTGGACATCCCTTCTCTCCCAGTCTTTGTCGGTTCTAGAACCAACACCACTTCGTCATTCTTTGCCGGCACTAGCCAAGCTAATTATTAATCAGTCGAGTCTAGTATTTACCTGCCGGCAAGGATGGGCAAAGTCTATTGCCGGTCGGTAGTACCATCCAGGGATGAGGAGGACCCGGGTGTTGACTAGATGTGGATGTCATTGCGATTGTTGACAGACGACTGTCTCGGTCGTATGTAACTTTGGCAGTCACACACACTTCCGGATAAACCCCAGAAGAAGTGTCGATCGATTCATACTAATTCCAAGATAGTATTAGTGAAGTGAAGCGGGCATCAGTCCATTCTGGTCCAGTCCAATCTTTGAAATATCAACTTACATTTCCACCTCGATGATATCTGAATGAGTATTATGAGAGGTGTCAACATTAGTTTGATTGTTTGTTTGTTGTGTAGACGGCAGCAGGGACAGACGCGACGTGTCCGCATGGGCAGGTTTTGTTGACTAACTTGGAATCAAAGATCGGGACCATCCGATCAAGATGCAAACAAGACTCTACCCCTCGAGTGTATAATTCCCTTCTAGTAACAGCATTCTAAAGGTGGTGTGGTGTGCCTCCGCAACCGGAACATTAGCAAATCAAGCACAATGTCCGCATCATTCCGTGGACCTGTAGGTGTTTGCGAGCACCAACACCAGGGTTGGGTGTCCTGTGACATGTGTGAGCAGTGCGTTCATTCATTTGGTAAACCTGCAAGGGGCAGGAGCATCAGGGTTGCTGTTTTGTTTGTAAATATCAACATAAACAGAAAGAAGAACAGAAACATTCACTCTATGAAATCAATTCAAATCTAATCTAATTGATCAACAACCAGAACAACTTCGCAAACATGAATACCTAACAAACAGGATAGGTGAGGGCTTCTGCCAGCGAGGAGAGACTTTGCTTTACTTTATCAGGGTTAGGACTCATTCACTAAACACTCACCGTGGGATTGGTGTGATTTTCCCACACACGAGATGTTGATCAAGTTTTTCACTTTGTAGCGAATCGGATGTAAAAGTGCGATGCATCGCACGATTTGCGTGGGTTTGATGGCCCATTGCTTTGCATGATCTCAGATTGCCCACCACACTTTAACACTCAAGTAAGGCTGATATTTTGATTAGCGGGGGTGGGTTAGTGTCTGATTGTTAATGAATGAGTCGATGATGGATGGATTGATGGATGGATTGATTGATGGGTGTGAGAGTGAGTGCGATGGATGGTTGCGATGTTGATATCTTATCACCCCGCTGTTGAACACCTTGGTGTTGTTCATTTATCACCCCAACATACAGACCAACAACTACCTAAACTACATCTACATCACGCGGGGCACCTGTCTCACTCACTTCATTTCATTCACTTGCACTCCACTCTCCACTCTCAACAAGAAGAAGGGACGGGTATATACCATCAGTTTCACGGCTCGAGACATATTCAATCTGATTCCCATTCCCCAACCTACTACTACACACACACATAATATATACATATACACATACATCTAATATTTATACAATCACTCACACACTCATATACACAATCACGATCTAACCAATCACCAAACATATATTATTACACCTGGCCTCACCACATTGCCATCCTTGACCGATCACTCACTCACCCACCCTTACTTAACTTAAGGACGTTTAAACTTTTAAATACTTCATACCA